AGGTTTGAACCGCTAGCCTTCTGGTTAGCAGTCAAGTGCTTTAGGCACTACACCATCAGAGCTCCTAGTAACAGTCTAGGCAGACCATAATGGACTTCAGCTGGGACTCATCTTTGAGGCACTAGTCATCATTTCTGTATATTTGTTTTTCTGTTTGTATGTACATACAAGTTTATAGATCTACACTAATTTTGGATTAATTCTGAATCTTTTATGTGAAGTGTTTCTTCATTTGTCTACTTCACATTTAGTTTACTTTGTGTATGGATTAAATGATTATAAAATTAATTAAATTTTGCTAGAAAGGCATTTTGAAAATAATACAGTAAGACAGACCTGTGTCACAGGTTAATTTTTTAATTACAACAAATATTAAAATAGAAATTTCTGTGTTTTTCAATGACATATATAAGTTCTAGCCAACTTCTTTTATCAAAGTAATTCAAATACAGCCTAAGGAACTTTTTATAGCACTGTGGCACATGATTGGAAAAATAATGGCAAGTGAGTCTAATTTCCATTAGATTGTCCAATTAGCACATTTTACAGATCAGATTTAACTCAGGTTTTTTTTTTGGTTGTTGTTTCATTATTTCATGTTTGTCTGACTCTTTTTCCTTTTCCTGAACTACTTTGATTTGTTTGATGCTTAGCTCTTTTCTCCTAAATCCATATTTACTACTGTTTTTGTCAGATGTGTTATCACGTAGGTTTGCCTGCATATATTATCACTCCTGTTGGATTGACCTGACAGTAATGACACATGCTAGGATGTCTGTCCTGAGATTGGTAATATGTATTGTTAATAATGTGGGAGCTCTGGTAGCTTAGTGCCTAAGGCACTTGCTTGACTGCTAACCAGAAGACTGGCGATTCAAACCCACCAGCCACTCCTCGGAAGGAAGATGGGGCAATCTACTTCCGTAGTGATACTGCTTTGGAAACCCAAAGAGGGGTCACTGTGAGTCGGGTCTGACTCCACGGCACATAACAACAACAACATTGTTAATGATGTAGGGGTTATGGTGGCTCAGTGCCTAAGGCATTTGACTGCTAAGCAGAAGGTTGGCAGCTCAAACCCACCAAACACTCTGCAGAAGGATGATGGGGCAATCTACTTCTATAAAGATTTACCACCTTGAAAACCCAGCGATGGTCACTATGAGTTGGAATCGACCCGAAGGCAGTGGGTTTGATTTTATTGTTAATAAGAGTCGTAAGGAAGAAGATACTCATTATTAAAAAGAATATTAAACATACTTAAGGAAGTCAAATATTTTGGACAAAGTCTTAGTTTCACAAATGAGAAAACAGTTTCTCAGAATTTTTGGAGAAATGTGGTCAGTACATTACCTTTTTTTTTTTTTATTTCTAGTGGAACTGTGTATGTGCCAGCTGGATTAATTTCCCTGGGAGATGGGGCAGAAGAGTTAAGGTTGAGACTGGGCTAACTGGGACACATGTTCCTTTAAGTTGCTGCACCAGTTCTGATGTTTTGAACTTTAGAACAAATATCTCATTGTTTTGCCTTGTTTTTAACTGTAAACTAATATTTTTATCCTTTGGAAATACTTTTGGGTTAAGTATGTTCTTGTTGTGTGCTGTTGAGTTGATTTCGACTTAAACGACCCTATAGGACAGGGTAGAACTGCCCCATAGTTTCTGAGGCTGTGATCTTTAGGGAAGCCAATTGCCTCATTTTTCTCCCACAGAGCAGTTGTTGTGTACCGTCGAGTCACACCTGACTCATAGTGACCCCTCCTTGGGTTTCCGAGGCAGTATCACTACTGAAGTAGGATTGCCCAACCTTCCTTCCGAGGAGTGGCTGGTGGGTTTGAACCGACAGCCTTCTGGTTAGCAGGCAAGTGCCTTAGCCACTGTGCTACCAGAGCAGTAGATGGGTTCAAATCACCAACCTTTCTGTTAGCAGCCCAGTGCTTTAACTACTGTGCCACCAGCACTAAGTATAGATTGTTGGAAATGTGAAAACCGTAATTTAAGACATACTTTTCTGTACATGTTTGTGAAAGAATTGTCTTACTAATTGGGTGTTTTGTTTTTCTGAAAGAAATTCCTTCTTTTGAAAGTTACATATAATGATGAGTAGATTGGCAGAATTGTTTTCTCTGCTTTCCCTGCTTCAAAATTTTGGAGTTGACTGCATCTTGCATCGGTGAAGTAAATCAGATTTTCCTTAATAAAAAGTATTGGGGAGAAGGTTTCAGAATTTTGCTAATCTTAAGCTTTTGAGTGACTAATTGAAGCTACATTTACAAAAAGGTCTAAAACTATGTATAACTCTTCAAGCCTTGAAGAGGTAATTTTGGATAAAATCACAAAGCCATAATGGGTTCACATTATCATCCCATTCCATTTGGACTTTGACATTTTTTGTCCCTGTTAGTTCTTTGAGACAGGAAGTTACATTCTTAATTTTCTTTGTATCTGTTGAATTGCCAAATATGGTACACAATGGCTTTTTTTTCCCCCTTACTAATTGGATGCCTTGCTGGACATATATAACTTGGATAAAGAAATTCTTTTTTCATTGTAGGTGCACATTAAAGATCCAAAACCATGACTGACTCCAAGTATTTCACAACCAATAAAAAGGGTAAGTATGATTTTGCTGTGTATATTTGTCACCAAAAATAAAATTAAATATTAAAAAAATGTTAAGTATGAGAACCTGATCAAAACTTTGAGATTTTTCAATAGTTATAGTGAAAGACTGTCCCAGATAGAATCTTCCTGATCTTTTCAAACACGTCATGGATAGCCTCATTAAAGATCATCTACTGCTTCTACAAGTAAGTGTATTTGAGTAGATTGTTAAAGTAGTATAGGGTTGTGGTGCATATCATTTTGACTTGAAGGTTCTGTTTTAGAGAAAGAGGGATGACTATTTGAAATCAGCATTGATCCACTGAGGACTGACAGATCTGAAAAGGTCAAAGAGGAAGAAGCATGTTTATTTTCTCTTTTTTACTTAAAAATTTTTGTAACAAATATTATGAAAGCAACATAGACATGTAGAAGTAAACATGACAGTTCGCTCCCTCTGTATTTGTTTTCATTCCCAAGGTATCCTCTTAGTCTTTATATGTTCTACATATGCCTATATTAATACAAAGGAGCTCTGGTGATGCAGTGGTTAAAGTGCTCGGCTGCGAACCAAAAGCCTAACAGTTTGAACCCACTAGCAGCTCTTCAGGAGAAAGGTGTGGCAGTCTGCTTCTGAATGATTTACAGCCTTGGAGACCCTATAGGACTCTATGGAGTTGCTATGAGTTGAAATCAATTCATCAGCTGTGGGTTTGATTTTATATTAATACATATGATTTAAAAAAAAAAATTGTCATTAACAGAAAAGAGATCATGCAAAACAGTGTAAGAAACTTGATACTTTCATACTCTCCATGTAGATCTACCTCATTTATATCATAGACAATCTCTTACTCACCAGAGCACATAAAATATTAACAGAAGAAAGAAGAATATACAGTTTTCAGAATGGTAAGAAAGTCAGAAAGAGTTGAATGAATGGCACGGGGCCAATGGCTTTTGTGGGGTATAAGTAAAAAAGGATAGGGAGAAAAGATTTGAGTGGAGCCAAGGAGGGATACTCAGTGAGGCAAAGCATTTTATATATACTGCAACTTTATTCAAGGAGCTTTTTATCTTTTTTCCTTTTTCCTCCTCCTAATCAAATCAACCAGCTAACAATGATTATCTTGGCCACATAGTACCATAATCTGAGTACTTTAAAAAAAACCCAAACTCGGGTCATACCTCAGACCAATTAAATCAGGATCTCTGGGAGTGAGATCTGTATTATTTTAAATATCCTCCGGCAATTACAGTATGTAGACAAGGTTGAAAGTCACTAATTATTGATATAATTAAGCAGCTAATTTAGAATTCTCTGTTGGAACAGAAGACATGTATCAGAAATGACAGAAGGATAGATATGCTTAAGTTTCCTAGAAAATGTTCTGGTGCTTCTTCTCTTGCCCCCTGCTTATATTTTTTAAAACTCTTATTTTGAAATAATTTCAGTCTTAAAAATTGCAGGATTCTCCAACTGTTAACATTTTGGTACATTTACTTTATTATTTTCTTTAATGTAGGTATGTATTTTTTTTTTCCTGAACCATTTAACAGTAAGCTACAGACATCATGCCTTTTTACTTTTTAGCCCTATATATGTCAGTAGATGTTTTCTAAGAACAATGAAATTCTCTTACATAACCATAATGCAGTTATCAAAAATCAGGAAATTTTATATTGATACATCATGACCACCTACTCTACAGACCTTATTCAGAGTCTCAATATGGCTTTAATGTAAACGTTATCCCTTAGTCTTGGATCTAGTTCAGGATCATGTGTTACATTTGTTGCCTGGTCTCTAAATTTTGTCTCCTCTAATCTGGAGTAGTTCCTCAGTGTCTTGTAGGATAATGGCATTTTTCAAAAATGCAGGCCAGTTTTTTTTTTTTTTAAAGAATGTCCTCATTTAGGTTTGTCATTCATTTTCAGCTCTCTCTGATTTTCTTACCATTCTGAAAGGAGTATATTGTTTTTTTCTGTTAACATTTTACTTGCTCAGATGAGCGGGGATGTAATTAAAGCTCACCTATCCCTTTAAACCTCTTAGAAGGGTTCCTGGTAACTTTGTTTTATTCAGGGATTTATAAAAGTTTGAGACTTACAGATTGAAGCACTGCTGGGTAAATAACACATTTAAAAATAAGATAAACTGTGTTCCTTTTGCTTCCTGCAGTATCTACCAGAAAAGCTACCGGAACATATTCCTTAAACTTAATGCTATTGGAATAATTTCAGTTACATCCAGTTTTGATTCTGCTATTCCTGCTGCTATTCCTGATTCATACTTTTTGAAACCCTGGTGTTTGTCCTTTACTGTTTCCAGAAATAAATGATGGGAACCATAATAGCTGGAGTTTGGCAGCATAGGACTTAGTGTGGAGGAGAATGGCACTTTAAGAGGCCTAGTTTTCCTGGTTGTGCTGTTTTTGCAGCTGTCAATTAAATGAAACAGTGATTTTGTAACATTAATTTGTTTACCTAGTTGACAATGGACATTAATGAAACAACAGAGAGAGTGAATGGTGTAACAATTTACACATTTACAAGTCATTGATGTTGATTATGTTTTTCCTGTTGTGCTGCCATTGTTATCCTCATCCAAAATATTCCATTACCATTAATATAAACACAATGCCCACCCTCACCCCCCAAGGTCTCAGAAAAACTCTTTCCCTTCCCTTTGATACCTGGTTACCATTAATAATCTTTGATTTCTATATATTTGCTTTTTTCCTGGCCTGCACAAATAGTTAAGTGCTCTACCCGAAAGGTTGGCAATTCAAACCTACCCAGAAGAGCCTTGGAAGACAGGCCTGATGATCTTCTTCTGAAAGGTCACACTTGAAAACCTTATGGAGCAGTTCTACTCAACACACGGGGTTGTCATGATTTGCAATCAGCTCAACAGCAACTAAGAACAACAGCTTATTTGATATAAATGAGATCATACAATATTTGTCCTTTTGCAACTGACTTATTTCGCTCAACATGTTTTCAGGGTTTATCCACATTGTGGCATGGAACAGAACTTCATTTCTCTTATAGCTGCTTAATATTCCACTGTATGTGTATATATACCATATTTTGCGTATCCATTCATGTGTTGATGGACATTTTGGTTTCTAGTTTTTGACTATCATGAAAAGTGCTGTAATGAACACAGTGTATGGGTTTCTGTTTGAGATCCTGCCTTCACTTTTCCTGGATGTATACCTAGAATTGGAATTACTGGCTTATATGGTTAATTCTATGTTCAGCTTTTTGAAGAACTACTAAACTGCCCAAAATAATAGTTTTCTTTTGGAATCAGCTGTACCATTTTACATTCCCACCACCAATGCGTGAGGGTTCACATTTATCCACAACCTCACTAGCACTTGTTTTCCGGTTTTGGGATCATTGCAATTCTAATGGGGGTGAGTTGATGCTGTGCTTTTGATTTGCATCTCCCTAGTGGCTTTTCGGGAGCTCTGGTAGTGTAGTGGCTAAGGCACTTGACTGCTCACCAGATGGCTGGCTGTTCAAACCCATCAGCCACTCCTCGGAAGGAAGGTTGGGCAATCCTACTTCCGTAGTGATACTGCCTCGGAAACCCAAGGAGGGGTCACTATGAGTCAGGGCTGACTCGACGGCACATAACAACAACAACAATGGCTTTTCATGTGCTTATTGACCATTTGAATATTGAATTTGGTGAACTGTCTGTTCAGGTCCTTTGCCCATTTTTTGATTGGGTAGTGTTTCTTTTTGTTGTTACTTGTAGAAATTTTATATATATTTATTTTTAGATACTAAGCTCTTAACCTAATATATGGTGCTCAAAAACTGTCTCCCAATCTGTAGGTTGTCTTTTCACTTCATTGAGTTACCTTCTTCTTCATTTTTTTTTTTTTTAAATTTAGTTCCAGCCTCCTGGAGCTGAGCCTTTGAATAGTGGTGATAGCCCCTGGCATTTCACAGTGCAGGGACTGAGCAAGTTTGTAGCTTTAGAAAGGACTCTGGTGTAAGCTTCAAGAGTATTCTTGTTAGATTGATTGAGTAGGATGGGACCTTAAAGCCCATTAACTTCTGTTTTATTTTATTTTTATTGTGATTTGGGTGAAAGTTTACAGAGAGAATTCATTTTCCATATAGCAGTTCATATACATTTTGTTTCATGATGTTGATTGCAATCCCCATAATGTAACGGCCCTCTTCCCACTTTCTCCCTGTAGTTACCTTTTCTCTGTCTCCTTCTTTCATATGCATTCCTTCCCTATGATCCATCTCCCTATGCAAATACTGCCCTTCTGATCTCCCATGATTGATTATTCTAGTGAGTGTACCTACCTAGTGTTAAATGTTCACTTTATATCCCTGTTTGTTTAACTAGAAGCCACAAGAGTGAGTTCAATTCCAAGCCTGAAGGGTGACTAGAGGCCATAGTTCTGGGGGGTTTCACCAGTCTCTATCAGACCAGTAAGCCTGTTTTTTTTTTTTTTTTTTTAATAATTTTGAATTTTGTTCAGCATTTTTCTCCCACTCCATCTAGGATCTCCTGCACTGATCCCTTTCTGAATGGCTGCAGTACTAGTCGGGTAACATTAGTTCTCATGGTCATGTAGGCTGAGGGTTGCATAATCTACTAATCCCTTGGGCTAATTGTTCCCATGTGTCTTTGGTTTTCTTCATTCTTCTTTGCTGCAAATGAGAAGAGACCAGTTGTTGCATCTAGGTGGCCTCTTGCAAGCTTTTAAGACCCTAGTCGCTACTCATCAAAGTAGGATGTAGTATGTTATGCCAGTTGAGCTTGATATCCCCCAAAACTATGGTCCTGAGCCTATAGGTTCAACAACTTGCTCTGTCAGGGTGGTTGAAAGTCCATTAACTTCTTAAATTATTGATTGGAGCCTTGATTCTTAAAGTTGGCTGTTCATAAGAATCACTTGTAGCTTTTAAAATACGAATGTAGGAGTTCTGCTTCTACATACTCTGATTTATTTGGTTTCTAGAGTGGAGCCTGAGCATTGTTGTTTTTAAATACTTCCCAGTTAGTATTATGGTGTGGCCAAGATTGAGAACCTCTGGATTGGAGAGTCAGGAGACATTGTTCTAAGCCCAGTTCTGTCACTAATTCATTCTGTGACTTTTGAACCATAGTTCTTTACCTGTAAAGGTAGGGGAATATGTGAGAATGAGATATCTGGAGTCTCTTCTGGTTTGAAAACCTTGATTTGTAAGCCTATTCTCTGCTTTTATTTATTTTCTTCTCAGGATCTTGAAATGCTAATAGATATCATCCCTGAAATATGGCTCTCTCCACTGTAGTTAGATATGAGATTTGCTTTTTCTTACTCCTAAGGTTCCTAAGAGGGAACTCTGGTGGCATAGTGCCTAAGGCATTTGACTGCTAACTAGAAGGCTGGCAGTTCATACCCACCAGCCACTCCTCAGAAGGAAGACTGGGCAATCTATTTCCGTAGAGATACTGCCTTGGAAACCCAAGGAGGGGTTACTATGAGTCGGAACTGACTTGACAGCAGTGAGTTTGGTTTTTGGTTTTGGAAGGTTCCTAAAGATCTAGATTGTGCCTTATCCAGCCATAACTTCAGAAGATATTTTGAAAGTTTATTGGTCGTGTCCTATCAGTGGGTCAGGTTAATATTTCTCTGGCTTTGAATTTTACCAATATTATAATTTTTTGATAATCTTATTTGAATTGCCTCCCTGCCTCTGGCCACCTGTCTTGGTTTTAGTTACTACATAGTGCCACATTTCTCACTGGTTCTTTGGTGCTGGAACCTAACATGGCTATTCTGTCCCTTATAGGAGAAATCTTTGAATTAAAGGCTGAACTCAACAATGAAAAGAAAGAAAAGAGGAAGGAAGCTGTGAAGAAAGTGATTGCTGCTATGACCGTGGGAAAGGATGTTAGGTAAGGGTCATCACACCTGCTGTTGCTCATTTAGGCCCCCATCCCATTTATTACCTTTCCTGCTTTTCCTTTGAAACTTTTATAATTATAGAACCTATAAGAATGGGTTTGTCCCACTGAAAACATCATCAAGAAGCATGATTGCTTTTATATTAATTCTCTGATTGAAGTTTTTTTTTTTTTTTTTTTTTTTAAGAGTGAAATGAGTTTGATTTTTGTTTCATACAAATCTAGCATAAAACCTCCTGAGAGCTGGCATACTTACAATTTGTTGCCTGAGATGATTTTAGAAGATGATAAAAATAGAGAAGCAGAAGTACACATGTTCTTTTAATTGGCTCAAGCCAGAGCCCTTAACTTTACAACTCCATAATCAGATGCTGAATTCAAGATGAAAATCAATGTTAACAAAATCTATTTGGTCTTATTGTTTTGTTTTGTTTCTGTAATTTAACAAGACCATTTGGAAATAAGGATTATCTGTATGCTCCTGGTATCTCTAAGACCCTTTCATAGGGTCCATGAAGTCAAATCTATTTTTATAATAACACTTAGGTGTTATTTACCTATTTCACCATGTTCACATTTGCACTAATGGTTTAGAAACAATGGTGGATACAACTGCTGGTCTCTTAGCGTGAGTTGAGGCAGTGGTGCCAAATTAGTAGTGGTCGTTGGATTCTTCACCACCATCTACATGCTGGAAAGAAAAGCAGTTTTACTTAGAACTATGCTTTATGAAGCATTAAAAATTAATATTATTAATTCTTGACCTTGAGTACATGTCTCTTTAATATTTTGTGTGATAAAATAGGAATTACTTATAATACTTCTATATGGTGGCTGACTCCAGAAAAACACTTAAGATTGAGATTGTGAACACCATTTTTATGTCAAAGAATAATTGACAGTTAAGCTTCAGTTGATTAGATTTTGGTATTTAAGGTCTTTTATCAAAAATGAACAAAGTGAACCTGTGACTTCAAGAGAAAAATTGACAGTAGATAAATTTCTGGCTTTGAAGTAAAAATTAAAATTTTGGAAAACTTGTATCCACTATTGTAAGCTTGACAGCTTCCCAATATTTAAAGACTTTTCTGATTAGCTTGGTGGTGAAATTAAAGAACATGATTACTTGATATTATATAATGTAGTTTGTTTACATTGGGAGGATCTGTATAAGTCATTGGACCAATTTTTTCTAAATGCTCAATGCATATGTCACAAAATCATGCCTAGGTTAAAAAAAGATCCATTCAAAATGCATGATAAGCTATACTTTAATGCCACCAAGTACAAAACATTTCAGATTGTACATTGCAACTGACTTTTAAGAAAATACTATTTGTCTAGTTTTAGTGTAGTGTCAAAAAAGAATATCCACAGTTACCTGTAAAAACTGTGAAAATACCCCTCCCTTTTCCAGTTTACATACATGTGTGAAGCTGGATTTTCTTGTGCTTCAACCAGGACAAGTGTCTGTAATGGATTGAATGTAGGAGCAAATATGAGAATCCAGCTGTCTTTGTTTAAACTAGACATTAAAGAGATTTGTAAATATATAAAACAGTGCCATCTTCTCACTAATTGTTTTCTTTGAAAATATAATAGTTAATTTTTATTTTTAAATGTTACTTATGTTACCATGACAGAGCCCAGGTAGTATAATAGTTAATTAAGTGCTTGGCTGCTAACTGAACTGTTGGTGGTTTGAACCCCTCCAGCAGCTCTGTGGGAAAAAAAAAACCTGGTGATCTGCTTCAGTAAAGATTTCTTTAGCCTAGAAAACTCTTTTTCACAGTTCTTTGTTACATGGGGTTACTGTGAGTTGGAATCAACAACAACATGAAGTGGATTTATTGTTATTTTAGATGGATAAATATTTTTGAGATTTCTCAGTTTTAATTCCTGATTTGGTAAAATAGCAATATGTATAACCCATAAAAACAAAAGCGCTCTAGGGATTCTTAGTAATATTTAAGAGTGTAAAGGGTCCTAAGATCAAAAAGTTCAGAGGTGCTCCCCTAACCAAAATAGGAGCCCAGCTGGAAATTGTGGCTGGAGCACATTAACTTGTACACCAGGTGCCTTGTTCTGAGGTGGGATTTTGTTATTATTTGGTATGTTAGCACATAAGCATGTATGGTTCTGAATTGCTATTCTGTAACCATCAGTCTCAGAGGTCAGTACACTATAAAGGGCCAGCTAAGTTATATTAGGCCTTCGGGCTAAAAGGCAGTTTTTGTTGGTGAAATTAAAAAAAACTAACAATAATTAAATATAGTTGTTTTCAGATTAATTTTTTTTTAATTGTAAAATATATATAACAAAAATTTTGACTTTTTAGTCATTTTTAAGTGTATAATTCAGTGGTATTAAGTAATTCTCATGTTGAGGAATTTCCCTTCTATTTCTAGTTTTCTGGGTGTTCATCATGAAAAGGGTATTGGATTTTGTGCAAATACCTTTTCTTTATCAATTGAAATGATCATGTGTTTTTCTTTCCCTTTTGTTCTGTTAATGTGTATTACATTTATTTTTTTTATGCTAAGTCACCTTTGTATTCTTGGGATAAATTCCATTAGGACATGATGTATAGTCCTTCTAATATGCTATTGGATTCAGTTTGCTAGTATTTTGTTGAGGATTTTTGCATCTATATTCATAAAAGGGGGAGCTCTGGTAGCATAGTGGCTAAGGCACTTGACTGCTAACCAGAAGGCTGGCGGTTCAAACCCACCAGCCACTCCTCGGAAGGAAGGTTGGGAAATCCTACTTCCGTAGTGATACTGCCTCGGAAACCCAAGGAGGGGTCGCTATGAGTCAGGGCTGACTCGACGGCACATAACAACAACAACAACATTCATAAAAGGTATTGGTCTGTAAGTATAAGTTTTTTATTTTAATTTTTTTACTTTTCTGTGGTAAAAAAATATACAAGAAAACATTCATCAACATAACAACTTCTGTTTATAGCTCAGAGACATTAGTGACATTTTTTCATGTAGTGTCACCATTATTGATATCCATTTCCAAAATATTTGACCACCATCAGCATAAACTCAGTGCCCTGCAAACAAAAGCTTCCCCTTTCCCTCCTCCCTCCGACCTCTGATAACCACTAATAATCTTTGGGGTATGTGTATGTGTGTGTGTGTATATATATGTGTGTGTGTGTGTTTCCATCCCTGGTAACCAACAAAGAAAATTTCCTTCCATGTATAAACTTTTCCTTGACTTTTTACAATAGTGGACTAATACAATATTTGTCCTTCTGTGATTGAATTATTTCACTCAGCATAATGTCCTCTAAGTTCATCCATGGTATGTGGTGTTTTGCAGATGCTACATTATTCTTTAGTGTTGCATAGTATTCTATTATGTGTATGTACTACGGTTTGGTTATCCACTCCTCAGTTGATGGACGTGTTCTGGTTACCTAGTACTGCTCTGACAAGAATATACCACAAATGGGATGGCTTAAACAAACAGGAGTTTATTCTTATAAGTTGGAGGCTTTAAGTCCAAGTTCAAAGTGCCAAGTTCTAGGGGCTAAGTGAAAGCCCCTCAGCCTTGGGTTTCAGCTCTGCCTCCAGCTCCCAGTCCACTGAAGCTAGAGGCTTTTTTTCACTCAGACAGTTGCTGGCTACTGAGACTGACAAACCCAAGGTTGACAAGTAAAAAGGCACAGTCCTGATGTTACCAAACCGCACAGCAGGCCATTAACTCAAGTCCATTGGAAGTCCCAGAGTCAGCAGAGCATGGTAGGCTGCTGCTGAACAACAACATGGCTACATGCAGGGTTCAAGCATGCCATAAGCTAGAAACCATTCCCCAAGGATTCTGCTTATGTACAGGAAGCAGACCACATTCTCTAAGGCAGCTACTTAGCTGCTCAAAGGAGATTCCACCATGGAGTTGATTACCAGTCTCATCATGGGAAATATTACATCTAGCTGCCCAGCCACTTAACCAGGCCCAGCCAAGTTGACACACAAACTGAACTACCACAGACACTCAGGTTGTTTCCATCTTTTTGCTGTTGTAAATAGGGCTGTGATGAACATGGATGTATATATACCTATTTGTGTCCTGGCTTTTACTTGTTTATGACATATATCTAATAATGAGATTGCTGGATCAAATGGTATTTCTATTTCCAGCTTTTTAAAGAATCACCATACTGATTTCCACCATGGTTTTATCATTTTACAGTCCCACCAGCAGTGTATGAGAGTCCCAATCTCTCCACATCCTCCCCAGGATTTGTTATTTTCTGTCTTGTTGAACTTTGCTATTAGTGCTGGGATGAGATGTTTTGATTTGCATCTCTCTAAAGACTAATGATTGTGAACATTTCTTTGTGTGTTTGTTGGCTGCCTGATTATCTTCTTTGGTGAAGTGTCTATTCATGTCTTCTGCCCATTTTTTAATTGGATTGTATGTCTTTTCAATGTTGAGGTGTTAGAGTTTTCTGTAAATTTTAGAGATAAGTCCCTTATCAAATAAGTCATTGCCAAGTATTTTCCCCAATCTGTAGGTTCTCTTTATAGTCTTTTGGAGAAGTCTTTTGATGTGCATAAGAATTTAATTTTTAGAAGGTCCCAATCATTTAGTTTATCTTCGGCTATTTGTGCATTTTGAGTTACACTTGATAATCTGTTTGCTTCATAAATTAGGGCTGCTAAGGTTGCCCCAATTTTTTCCCTTGGTGAACATTACAGTTCTAGATTTTACGTTTAAGTCTTTGATCCAACTAGAGTTAGTTTTTGTGTATGGTGTGAGGTATGGATCTTGTTTCATTTTTATGCAAATAGATACTCAGTTTTGCCAGCACCATTTGTTAAAGAGACTATGTCTTCTCCATGTCATGGATTTTGGCTCTCTGTCAAAGATCAGCTGACCATAGGTGGATGGATCTGTTTGTGGGTTCTCAGTTCTGTTCCTCTGATCTACATGTCTGTCATCATACCAATACCAGGCTGTTTTGACTACTGTGG